AAATCAGTGTACCCCAAATGCAAAAATAGTAACCAGTTACTTAATCGAGTCTGGCTATTATTTCTGCCATTTTCACTCTTGCTTCAGCCCCCAGCTCAAATATCACTGCTGAAGTCTTGTTCATTTGCTTCATGGAGAATTCACTATGCCTCCCCCAGGCTGCCTTGGCTCTTGGTGGTTTTTCCTTTTTATTTAAGTTTTAAAACAGCACAAGTAAGACATGGGAGCATTATTATTGTAAAAGATTCTAACCAAGCCTGAAATATATAGGGTAGAATGTCGCCTCTCTGCCCCACATCCCCCGGAGGAAATCCCTATTAGATCTTCCCCGACGGCACTTCATACCTCAGGTGTGTTGTCCTGCCTTGTAGTTGGGGAGTTGGGTTTTCCAGGCTACATTTAGAGTCCTTATTTAATGGGAGGGACCTGCTCTGATTTCTTTCTGTCCTCTGCTCAATAAATGTTTGCTTAGTTTAGTATCAGCCCAAATTTCTAGATCATAGGATGGGGTGGGATATCAAATACATATTTCCAGCCTCCTCTCCTTGGAGATTCTGACTCTGGAGTCTTGAGTCAGCCCCAAGGAATCTCTTAACAGATTCTGGTAACAAGTTTTCCAGGTACGTGAGGTAAAAATCTAGCTCCGGGAATGTTTTCTTATTTTTTTAAAGATTTTATTTACTTATTCATGAGAGACAGAGAGAGACAGAGAGAGAGAGAGAGAGAGAGGCAGAGACCGAAGCAGGCTCCATGCAGGGAGCCTGACTTGGGACTCAATCCCAGGTCTCCAGGATCACATCCTGGGCTGCAGGCGGCACTAAACCGCTGAGCCACTGAGTTGCCCTCCGGGAATGTTTTTAAAGGTGGCTTCCCAATGTGCATAGCAGCAACATCCACAATAGCCAAACTGTTGAAGGAGCCATCTAAAAATGAATGGAAAAAAAATAAAAAAATTAAAAAAAAATAAAGATGAATGGATAAAGATGTGGTCTATATATACAATGGAATATTACTCAGCCATCAGAAGAGTCGAATACCCACCATTTTTCGATGTGGAGGAACTGGAGGGTATTACGCTGAGTGAAGTAAGTCAATCGGAGAAGGACAATCATCATATGGTTTCACTCATACAGGGAATATAAGAAATAGTGAAAGAGATTATAAGGGAAAGGAGCAGAACGGAGTGGGGAAAAAATAGAGAGACAAACCATGAGAGACTCCTAACTCTGGGAAACAAACAAAGGGTGTGGAAGGGGAGGTGGGGGGGCGATGGGGTAACTGGGTGACAAGCACTGAGAAGGGCACCTGATGGGATGAGCACTGGGTGTTATACTATATGTTGGCAAGTCGAACTTCAATAAAAACAAATTAAAAAAAATAAAGGTGGCTTCCATCTGCTGAACATCTCCCTCATCGATTTATTTAGATGTCTCTTTTTTGCTTAGTAGGATTATCGTTATACATTTCATAACTTCGTGACTAAAATAGTAAGACACGGTCGCTGTGGGGAATTGGATGATAAAGTCAGCTTTAATCCCATCCCAATCAAGCCCTTTTGATGGACTGTCATGGGGCCCTGGGATCACAGGGTCATTCCCAGTTTTGCTCTTGGCCATTCGTGGCCCCTGCCTCCCTGACAGACCAAAGAGTACCAGTGCTTCTTTCTGTTCCTGTTAGGAGCTCACAGATGCTGTGCTCACTAGCTTGCTAAGTGCCAGTCACCTCCCCATCTCTCCTTCCTCGTCCGGCAGAGGGAAGCAGCCATTTCTCTCTTTATTTGCTGCCAGTTCCATCTCTCAAGAAGTCTTCGAGTTTTAAGAGTCTGTCAGGGCCCTATTTTTAGTGGAGTGGGACTTCTCCTGGGTGTCCAGATTGTTGAAACTCTCTCACTAGCAGATGCTCTTCTGCGTTGTCACTGGAACCTCCCGTGTCCTCACTTCTCAGATGCTCATCACCTCACACAACCTTTACCACATCTGAGTAATTCCCCACCCTGTCCCCATCCTAGAAGACTGAGACTCAGGAAGGACAGATGGCCTGTCCCACGGGCTGGAGGGGCAGAACCAGGTTCTCCCCTCTGGTTCTAATCCCTGTGCCTTACCTGACCCCTCCCATCATGTCTGTGGCAGGGAGGTGCACCTTCCACTCCATTGCTGTGACCCTTTGTACCGCTGAGGTGGACATGAGCACATTCTGCCAGAGAGAAGAGAGGGGGGAGTGTGTGTCTGTGTGTAAATAGATAACATTGATCTACTTCCTGTTAACCCAGAGGTCATAAACTGCCAGCCCTCTGGCCAAAAACCTATCACAACTATATTGTGTTCAGTCCTTTCAGAGTTTTAAATTTTTAAAAATTAGTTGCTGACATTTAAAGATCAAAAGTGTTCACATAAAAATCCAGATGTCCAGCTTCTCTTGAAAAAAAACAGAATACTGGCAGTCTGGGTATCATATCCTTCCTTGGCCAGAGTCAAGTGGAGCTGAGCAGTGCTTTGCCCATGTAAATAGGCAGATGCCACAGTCTGCACCACTCCTTACCATTTCCCCAAACAGAGCCATTGTTAGCAATTTGTCACTTCAAGTACATTGTTCCTTTTTCTTATTGGTAAATTCCAGAAGAGAGAGCCATATCTCAGAACCAGCACACCTCAATCAGTATTGCCTGGTCCTTATAGGCATTTGAGTCTACAATCCTCTCTGTCCTTCTAATCCCTACCAGATCATCCTTGGAAATCCCAGAGCCTAGGCACACAATAGGTGCTCAAGAATAACTGTAGCTACCATTTGTTGAGTGCTGAAACTGAAGGAGTGTGGAATTCATAACTCTTTTAGCAGATGGACCAACAAGCTCAGAGAGGTTGAGGACAAGCCCAAGGTCACACAGCTGATGAGTTTTGTCACTAGGACTTTAGTGGTGTCACTCACTTTTGCACTGAGTTGCCTCACGTTTTATGGCTTTTCACACCCTTTCCTTTTGACTTTTCAAGTTGTCTGGTGGTTTCTGAAGGTTTCATAAAAGAGATGGCAACTAATGCCAAGCTTTGACACCATAACGGGGCAGAGACTAAGAAAGGCAAAAGGCATTTTCATGGAAGAAAACAGAAGAGAGACATAGACATGGTATAGTGTTAAGTGTGTGTCAAGGAGGGAAAAGGATATTGTGAACTAAGGTGGGAAAAGGATAGAACATAAAAGGCCTTAAATGGTAGGCTGAGGCTATGGGACTTCTGAGGGCACTGGGGAGCTCTGAAAGGTTCTAGAACAGGAGCAGACATGATCCATGTCAGGTTCCATGAAGGCTAGTGAGGCAGCAGGATGGAGGTAGAGAGGATGCCAGCTGTGAGAATCCAGAAGAGAGGTGCTAGGGGCTTGAAGGAGGACCCTTCAACAGAGGCCAGAGAGCAATTTATAGGGAGACTGCAGAGGCCCCAAGGTGAGGACTTGGTGATGGGGATGCGTGGAGCTGACCATCTGGAGGCACAGCAGTGTCACTAACTGGGACAGGGAAGATGGGAGGAGATATGGCTTGGGGTACATCTATGGGGAGATGCCCTCTAGGCACTCTAGGGACAGGACAGGGCTGCGGCAGGAGATACAGACGCTGCCTGCCAAGCCAAGTGAGAGCAGTGAGAATGGAGTGCTCTGAGCCAAGAGCCTGGAGATACCTCCTCTTACACCTGTCAGATTTCCTTCTGGTCACCGGCCTCCAAGTTCCCCTCTCTTCCCTCTGTGTCTAAGCCCCCAAGACTGAATATCCTCTGCCCATCCTAGGGTTGCAGGCACAGACCATGGTGAATTTTGGCTCTATGAATGATGGCAGTGTCCCAGCCATTCCCTGAAAGCAGGTGCTGCAGACATCCAGAGCCCAGGGTCTTCCCAGCCTTACCTCCTCATTCACCAAGCAGAGGCCTGGGGAGGGGGAGTCACCACAGTCAGGCCCTCCCTGCCCCCTACCCCCATGGGAGCCCATCTTCTCTCTTCCTGTGAGCAGTGCATTTGGCTTTTTATAAAGCCAATAAATAAATAAGCAAGCAGGCATGATTAATTGATGGCATGGAGCAGACCAAGGCGCTGGAGTCAGGTGGCCAAGCTTCCTGGTGGAGCTAGGCTTTTCAGCGACCTGGGGCCTGAGCCAAGGAGGGGAAGCCTGCTCTGAGGAGGCTTTCTGTGTGTGCCTGAGGTTTTTGCCTCTCTCCTCAGGCAGGGCCTCTTCCTGGTCTCCTCAGGCCTTAGGCCAGACAGGCTGGAGGCTAGGGTCCAACAGGTGCCCCTGCCCTAAGGGAGACCTTTCTGGGGCGGGGGTGGGGGAGTGGAGGGGTGGGTGGGGATGTTTGAGTCCCCTCCAGCCAGCCTCCCTAGAATTAGTCCAGCCAGCCCCCTCCCCGAAAGCTAGGTCTCCCCAAATGCCCGATCCATACCTCAATTCATCCCAAACTGTGACCCCAACCACAGGTTTCAGTTGCGCAGGGGAGGCTTGGCACACCCAGACCCCCCGGGGAAAGGGTGGGAGGGGTCCCTCCGAGGGCCAAGCTAACGGTGGGGATGGGCAGAGTAAGGGGCTGCTTGCAGGTAGAGGTACCTGCAGGCAGCACCCACCGGAGAGGCTGCAGACCCCTCCCCCGGCCGAGGCCGACCGGCCCGCGCGCGTGCAGGCGGGTGCAGGCGGGTGCAGGCGGGACGGCGCGCTCGGCGCTCCGGGTCCCGCGGGGCGCTTCCCGTGCGGAGTTTGGGGAGGGCCGCGGGGGGGAGCGCGCGGGGGAGGAGGGAGCGGGGAGGGGAGGGAGGGAGGGAGGGAGGCGGGCAGAGCGCAGTGCAGCGGTGGCAGAGGCGGCGGCGGAGGGAGGGAGGCGGACGGGAGGCGGCGGGGCCGCGGGGCGAGGCGAGCGCGGGGCAGCCGCGGCAGAGGAGCCGCAGCCGCAGCCGCAGCGGGGCCGGGCCGGGCCGGGCGCGCACCAGTGGCGGCGGCGGCGGCAGCGGCGGCGGCGGCGGCGGCAGCATCTCGCTCGCGGAGCCGGCGCAGGTGAGGCAGGGGCGGCCGCGCCCGGGGCTCTGGGCCTCCTCCCCTCTCCTTCGGTCTCTAGCTCCCTCCCAGCCGGTTTCCCTCCCGTCGGCGCTCGACCCCAGGAACCCCGGCGGGCCAGAGTCCGAGCGTAAGCCGGAGCGCGTCCCGGGTCCCCTCGCTCCGCGGAGGCAGGCGCCGTGTCACAGTGACCTTGAGCGGGCACCGAGCGGCGGGCGGGGCGGGCCGGGGTGGGCGCCTGCGGACCCGGCGCCTGCGGGCGCTGGGAGGGGGCGCACCGCGCGCCTGCCGCGCGCAAACTTTCCGGGCTCGGAACAGCCCCGGAGCTGGGGGCGTCCGGAGCGCTAGAACCTCCCCCCATTACCTCCTTCTCAGCTGGCTCTGACTTCTCCGCTTGGCGTCCCCCGCCCCCAGGATCGGGGGCCCCCCTTCTCCGGGCCCAGATTCCTGCAGGCTGGGGAAATGACCGGAGCTATGGACGTTGACCCCGGGCCGGGGGCTTCTACCCTCCGCAAAGGCGTTTTCTGTCCAAGCTTCTAAGAGCCCAAGTGCAGGAGGACCCTCCACCAGGTGCTCTCTGCAGCTCTCTCCTCGCATTTTCCTGGCCTCCCTCACCCTTCCTTCAGCCCTTCTCCAAGCAGACGCCTACAGTACCCCACCTGGTGACACAGGAGCTCTGAAGCCCCACACTCAGTTGGGTTCTCAGATCCGCAGCCTGATTATTCAGCCCAGCTGCAGGGGCTCCTTCAGAGGATGAGTGGAGGTCCCCCCCCCCCCCAGCACCGCCGTGGTGGATCAGTATGTTCTTGGACACCTAGAGTCACCCAGGCTCTGGTCACCCTGAAGCCCTGTGGTCTCAGGAGGAGGAGACGTCCTGGAAATCTAGTATATCCTAGCCTCCTAGAACGTTAGTCTTGGAAAAGGGAAGTGAGGCTCAGAGAGGTTGAGCCAGGCCCAAGGTCACACAGCCAGACCAGGAGGAATAAGAACTGAGCTTTCTTATATTGGGTTGAGGAGGGATGGAGAAGGCTCCTGTTTGGTTTCTACCCCTGCCCTCAAGGGGATTTGAGCCCTAGGACAGTGTCTTACTGGCTGTGTGACCTCTGGTAAGTCATTTCCCCACTCTTGACTCACTTCCCATGTGTAAAATGGGAGTAGCTACTTCATAGGGCTGTTCTGGTGGCTGAGTTAATGTTCTTGAAGTTCTTATCATCATGTCTGGTGCATGATCTGTATCCAAATATTTTTGGCTACCAACATGTGAAATTTCCTTTCTGAGCCTGGAAGAGCAGAAATAATTCCCATTCTCTTCTTTCTGCTTCTGGCACTTATATTTAGGTGACTTCTCCCCTGCAGCTCTGTCAGCTGCTGGTAGGCAGCACCTGCTGGAACCCTGAACACCTGTACTTTATATGCAATGTTTGGTGGAGGCAAGTGTCTCAGCACCCTCGACAGCCCACTAGACCCACCAGTCAGGCTAACCCAGGTTGTGGTTTCCTGCTGCTTGCATAGGGGAGATCAATCCCTAGTTTCTAGTTGGGAAATTAAAACGGGAACCTGCTGCAGCCCCAGGAAGAGACACCCCCAACCCCTGCTCCCTGCACAGTCTCACGGGAAGACTATCATCCATATCTCCTCCATCTGACCCAATCTTCTCCATACCTCTGCAAGATGTCATTCTTCCCTCCCTCCCCACCCCACCACACCGATATACAAAAAGAGGAGATGGGAGGGAGTACTTTCATTCATTCATTCACTCAACAAGCCTTGATTCCTGCCTTCTTTGGGTCAAGAGGTGCTGGGGAATGCAGACAAATCTGCTATATCTAGCAGTTATGAAGCTCCTACCAGGTGCGCCAGGCACTTGCTAGGCATGGGAGATACATTCTTTCACTTAATAAATTTTATTAAGTATCTAATATGTACTAAGCACTGTCTATGTGGCAGGGACTCACTGGTAAATAAAACAGACCTGCTGCTAGCTGTTAAAGGTAACCATATAAATTGTCATCTAAACTGAAACACTTTTGAAAAGGGGAGAGGGCATTATTAATAATAACTCCAGGACCACAGGCATAAATCAGGACTATCCAACCAAACTGGGATGTGTGGCCATTCTGTGACCTCATGTTTATATACCGGTGTTCAGGGAGAACTGTTAATATTTTTTTGAGCTTGCTTTTTGCCAGGCTCTGTGCTGAGCACTTTCAGGTTATCATCTGATTGAATCCTCACAGTGCTGTGAAGCTGGTGTTACCATCTGCATGCAGCTGGTGAGCATGGGAGCTGGGACCTCTCCTGCTACTTAGCTGCTGGGCTGCCCTGCCTTCTCAGAGATAGACGAGACCCAGGGCCCAAGGGCACACTGTCTCCCTCCAAAAGAGGTTCACAGACAACTGTTAGGCAGGAGCCCTAGTGCTGTAATAGATGTGCCGTGGGGGCAGAAGACGGAGGCACAGATTCTTGCCTGGAAACATCAGAGGCAGCTTCCCAGAGGAGAGGACCTTTGAGCTGGACCTTGAAACATGAGTTAGACTTTTGGCAGACTGTGCGGACTGGGGGGAGGGCAGTCTGGGCCCAGGTTGCTAGTGCTTGGAGATGTGGGGTGTGTGCACTATTTGGGGGGTAACACCCCAAAATAGGTCTGGATCCAATTGTGGCTGGACAATAGTTAGGTCTGAAATGCCGCGGCAGCCAGTGAAGACTACGTCCAGGAGTGTTGTACTATGGCATGTGATGAGCTCTGCTTCTTAGAAGGTTGCTCTGAAGATGTGACTATCCTGGAGGCAGGGAGCAGAGAGAATTTGCTAGACTGGATTTCCCTTTGACAAGAATTTTCTATAACCTGATCTATACTATATAGATTGCCTGCAAGGTCAGGGAAATCATTTTGTTATATAGAATCACCGCAGAAGAAATTTGCCAGCATCTGTAGTATTAAAAAGTTTTCTGCAAGTGAAGTGATTGTCAACAAGAGAAATATTAACCTACTTAAAAGAGACGGTTTTTAGTAGCATCGCTTGCAAAAAAAGAATATGCTTATTACAAGGTATAAGTGAAATCTCTTATATTTGTTAAACCACATCCAAAAAGCTTCAATTTCCTCCACTCTTCTTTCTTTTCCATGTCGCCTCTGTTACCATATAAACCGGAGAGTAATAAAGCAGTATTTCTTTAGTAATGTCTTATTTCTTAGACTTTCATTAATTCATACTGGCCTCTTTTCCTCCCTTCACAATGAAGTGGGATTATTAAAACTTTATGGTATCTAGAAATTTGAATCCATTAGTAGAGAACAAAAAATGGGGGGTCAGTATTGGGGTTCTGGATTAGAAAATCAGGCTGGAGAGATTTGAGAAGCAGAAGGGACCTTGATGGAAGGTTGGGAGTAAGGTACAAGACCAGTTTCATGGGTGCCTGACCTATGCAGTCACACTGAGTCCTGTGTTGAGAAGGGCCCCACACTTGATTTAATGCTCTGTGGTCACTGTATTGAAATTCTTAATAATTTTTGAACAAGGGACCCCACATTTTTATTTAGCACTAAGTCCCACAGATTATGTAGCCAAACCTGAGAGAGAGAGAGAGAGAGAGAGAGAGAGAGAGAGAGAGAGCGATGGGAGTAGGAAGGCGTAGGGGAAAAGATATGGATGGGGAGAGAGAAAGGAGAGTAACATTTTGAAAGTCCCTGCCATATGCCTGATGCTGTATGAGAGAGACCGTTTTTTCATATTTAACCTTGAAACTTCATGAGGTAGATGATATCATCCTTATTTTTAAATATAGGTTTATTATGATTTAGGTATAGTGAGGCCTATCAGAAGAAACAGCCATTGAAAAGACAGCTTGTTATAGTTCCCAAGAGGAGGGGCCACACCACGCCACAAGGGAAGCACCAGGTTTGGTCAGCCGGCAAAGGAAGGCAAGAAGAAAACATAGAGAGGACACTTTATTGTGGTTTCCATGGGATGGAATAGGCAAGGCAGGGTAAACAGGTTTAGGCTTGGCTCTGGGGCATAGAGCTCTCCCTAGTTGTCTGGTAGCTGGCCCTGGGATGCTGAGGGCAGAGAAATAGTCCCCCAGAGTGCCAGAGCTCCATAAAGAGGGTGGTGGGGAGGAGTATGGGAGGCTGCCCATGCTTTTCCTGCTCCTCCCTGCCTTTCCTCACCCAAGCAGGTCATAGAAGAACTTTAAAGCTAGGATATCCCTTGAGAAGTAGCTGGGCCAACTCCTTGATTTTATAGAAAAAGTGAAAAGATAGGCTCAGAGAGGGAAAGTGACTTCTTCAAGGTCACACAGCATTTTAAGGGGACTGAACTAGACCTAGAATTCATGTCCCCTGCTACTCAGACCACTGCTTAGTTATTGTTTTTTCCCTCTAGAGTAGAGTTCTATATAAGCCAGATCCACCAGACTGTGAACACATTAAAGACTGAGTTCCTGTCTCTTTTTTTTTTAAGATTTTGTTTATTTATTCATGAGACACACACACACACACACACACAGAGAGAGAGAGAGAGAGAGAGAGAGAGAGAGAGGCAGAGACACATGCAGAGGGAGAAGCAGTCTCCATGCAGGAAGCCTGACGTGGGACTTGATCCCGGGTCTCCAGGATCAGGCCCTGGGCTGAAGGCAGTGCTAAACCGCTGAGCCACCCAGGCTGCCCTCCTGCCTCTTTTAATATCCTATTTCCGATATGTCTAGAACATAGTAGATGCTTTATACATGATTGTATCAGTTTCCTAGGATTGCTATAACAAATCACCACAAACTAGGATGCTTAAAACAAGCAGACATTTAGTCTCTCTCAGGTCTGGAGGCTAGTAGTCCAAAATCAAGGTATCAGCAGGGCCACACTCCATCTAAAATTGCAGGGAAGAATCCTTCCTCATGTCTTCCTAGCTTTGTTGTTCCTTAGCTTGTAGCTACATCATTCCAATCTCTGCTTCTGTCTTTACACAGCTGCCTTCCCTCTGTCTCTATTTCCAAATATTTCTCCC